CCTTCTGCTTCCAAGTCGCCGTAAGAGGGAACGGAGCGAGGGAACCCCGGGGGCGGCGACACCGGCGTCTGCTGCTGCAGCTGCTGCTGCTGCAGCTGCTGCTGCAGCTGCTGCTGCTGCAGCTGCTGCTGCAGCTGCTGCTGCTGCTGCTGCTGCTGCTGGCGCAGGCCCCGCGAGACGCCCTGGTTGCCGCTGTACGCGCCCGTCAGCTGCTGCGGCTGCGGGGCGGCAAAACTGCTGCTGCTGCTGCTGCTGCAGTTCGGGTGCCAGCAGCAGCAGCTAGCCAACGAGCAGCTCGGCGCTTCGCCGAAGCTCGCTGCAAAGCTGTGAGGGGCGCAGGGGGCCTGAAGCCTCCCTGATTTGCTGCTGCTGCTGCTGCTGCTGCAGCAGCAGCAGCAGCAGCAGGGAAGGCATCGGGCACTGTCTCCTCGATACGCGGGCGGCGCAGGGGCCTGAAGACCTGTGCCGCCTCGGCTGCTGCTGCTGCTGCAGCAGCCTGCTGCTGCTCCTGCTGCTGCTGCTGCTGTTGCGCCCACCCCAAGCCATGCATACTCGCAGCGTGACTTGCTGCTGCTGCTGCTGCTGCTGCTGCTGCATCGTCTGCAGCAGCAGCAAAACGATTGGCCTGCCCCCTCAGGGGGACCCCAAGAGGCACCGGCGGCTGCGCACTGCTGGCCGCGGGCAATCTTGTGGCCCTGCTGCTGCTGCTGCTGCTGCTGCTGCTGCTGCTGCTGCTGCTGGCAGCAGCAGCAACTGGGGGTTCCGATGTCTGCGTGTACGCCGGGAACCCCAAATGCCTACTTTGCTGCTGCACTGCAGCAGCACCCATTTGCTGCTGCTGCTGCTGCTCCCCGCCCGTCACTGCTGCAGCAGCAGCTGCTGCTGCTGCTGCAGTTGAGGGGTGGCGGCGGCGCCTGTCGGGCCGCCTGGCCTCTCTGGAAACAGAAGCAAACATTTCCTGCTGCTGCTGCTGCTGCTGCTGCAGAGGACATGCTGCTGCTGCTCCCGAGGCAGCAGCAGCAGCAGCACTAGAAGAGGACCGGCCCCTGTGGCGGTCCTTGTGGCGTCTTTTCCTGTCTTTGTGCTGCTGCTGCAGTTGCTGGTGCTGGAGTTGCTGCTGCTGCAGTTGCTGCAGCTGGAGCTCCTGCATCTGCTGCTGCTGCTGCTGCAGCGGCTGGATGTGTGTCTGCTGCTGTTGCAGAGGCGGCATGAACTGCTGCTGCCCCTGCTGCGGCTGGAGCTGGCTCGGGACGAGCTGCTGCTGCTGCTGCTGCTGCTGTTGCTGCTGCTGCTGCTGCCACGGGGCCACAGCAGGCGCTGCAGCGCCTCTTTGGCGATGCAGCTGTTGCTGCTGCTGGAGCTGCTGCATCACCTGCTGCTGCTGCATCAGCTGCTGCAGCTGCTGCTGCTGCTGCTGCTGCTGCTGCTGCGGGGCGCTTGGGGGAGATAAATCGAGGGCCAGCGGCTGCAGCTGCGAGGAGGAGCGCCAGCCGCTGTGTCTCCTTTGGCTGCGGTGCCGCTGCTGCCTGCGATGGTGCTTTTGCTGCTGCTGCTGCTGCTGCTGCTGCTGCAGCAGCTGCTGCTGCTGCAGCTGGAGGTCGCCGGGAGCGTTGGCGGCAGCTGGCGGGGACCTGGTGGGCGCGAGGGCCGGTTGCTGCTGCTGCTGCTGCAGCTGCTGGAGCTGCTGCTGCTGCAGCTGCTGCTGCTGCTGGAGGTGGTGGAGCTGGAAGTCGAGCTGGTGCTGCTGCAGCGCGCGGGCCGCTGCTGCTGCTGCTGCAGCGTGCTGCTGCTGCTGCTGCTGCAGGGCGAGGGCGTTGGCAGCAGCAGCCGCCGCAGCGGCGGCCGTGTCGGGGACGAGGGGCGGGCGCTTGAGCCTGGGGGCGCGTCTGCTGCTGCTGCTGCTGCGCTGCTGCTGCTGCTGCTGCTGCTGCCGCGGCCGCGTGTGCACTGCAACGGGAAGCCCCTCCTTCGTCAGCAAACCAAACCACAAGTCCGAAGGATTGTTGCACAAGTTAATTCGAACGCTGTCTTCCCTGCACTTGTGGTCCACAGTGCCCTTGGTGGACTCTTCGCTGCTGCTGCTGCCTGCTGCTGCTGCTGCAGCAGCAGCAGCAGCAGCAGCAGGGGCGCTGCTGCTGCTGCGCAGGCCCTCCGCGCGCTCGAAGGCCGACTGCCGCAAAGGGACCCCTGAGTTCTGTCTCCGCTTTTCCACTGTCTCCTTCACCAGCCAAAAAAAGGAAAGGCTGCCAGCAACTCCTGCTGCTGCTGCTGCTGCTGCAGCAGAGCTGCTGCTGCTCTCCGCTTCTGCGCGCAGCAAACACCCACACCCCCACAAGCTCTTCCACCAGCCCCACCAGCAACTGCTGCAGCAGCAGCAGCTGCTGCTGCTGCTGCAGCAACAACTGAAGCATCGACAGCTGCTGCAGCACACGCTGCAGCTGAAGCGACCGCTGCAGCAACAACTGCAGCAGCCGCTGCAGTTGTTGCAGCAACAACTGCAGCAACAGCTGCAGCAACAGCTGCAGCAACAGCTCCACCAACAAACGCAGCAACAGAAGCAACAACAACTGCAGCAACAGCTGCAGCAACAACTGCAGCAACAGCTGCAGCAACAGCTGCAGCAACAGCTGCAGCAACAACTGCAGCAACAGCTGCAGCAACAACTGCAGCAACAGCTGCAGCAACAACTGCAGCAACAGCTGCAGCAACAGCAGACGAATGCGCAGGGTCCTACTGGCTGTGCGCGCCTCCAGCTGCATCAGAACTTCCGAAGTCAGCCTGACCGGCTGCTGCTGCTGCTGCTGCTGCTGCTGCTGCTGCTGCTGCTGCCTCCTCCCGTCTCTGCGTCTCCTCGTTTTGCCTCTTCTCGAAGAAGGCGGAGTGCGGCCGTCTTTGCGGCGGCTGTCTCCAGCTGTACATACACCTGGGAGGCCAGCAGCAGCAGCAGCAGCTGCTGCTGCTGCTGCTGCTGCTGCTGCTGCGCTGCTGCGGTGGTTGCGATGGCTGCGGGATCGGCCCATAGCCCTCCCGCTGCGGTGGTGGTGGCGCCGCCTCTCGCCGCCTGCTGCTGCTGCTGCTGCTGCTGCTGCAGCAGCAGCAGCAGCAGCAGAAGTCTCCTGCCCTGCTGCTCCCATCATGGCGTTATCGCTCAGCGCAGCGTCGGCAGCGCCTTCTGCTGCTGCTGCTGCTGCAGCAGCAGCATCTGCTGCTGCTGCTTCTGCTGCAGCAGCAGCATCTGCTGCTGCTGCTTCTGCTGCAGCAGCATCTGCTTCCGGCCACAGCTGGTCAGGAGAAGGCAAAGACTGCGAGGCCTCATCTTCAGCAGCAGCAAAAGTGCTGCTGCTGTTGGTGCGCGTCTCTCCAAACGCGCCGCAAGCAGCAGCAGCAGCAGCAGCTGCTGCTGCTGCTGCTGCTTCTGCTGCTGCAGCAGCGGCAGCAGACGACTCCAAAGACTTGGGGTGTACGTACACCGCAGCCTTGCGTGCGCTCTCGCCGCTGCCTGCAGCCCCAAAAGGAAAAAGCAAATCAACCAACTAAACCCCCGCTAGCTAGCTAGCTGGCTAGCTAGCTGGCTAGCTGGCTAGCTAGCTGGCTAGCTGGCTAGCTAGCTGGCTAGCTGGCTAGCTAGCTAGCTGGCTAGCCAGCTAACTGGCTAGCTAGCTAACTAGCAAGCTAGCTAGCTAGCTGGCTGGCTAGCTGGGTAGCCAGCTGGCCGGCGGGCTGGCTAGCTAGCTAGCTAGCTGGCTGGCTGGCTCAAGAGCTAGCTAGCTCGCTGCTGCTGCGCTGCTGCTGCTGCTGCGCTGCTGCTGCTGCTGCGCTGCTGCTGCGGCCCAAGTGTACATACACCCCGAATGTACCTGCAGGCGCTGCAGCGGCGCCGCCGGAGATGGGCGCGGGTGTTGCTGCTGCTTGAGTTGCTGCTGCTGCTGCTGCTGCTGCTTCTGCTGCAGCAGCAGCAGCAGCTGCTGCTGGAGTCGGGGACGCGACCGGAGTCTCCCGAAGTCCTGTCAAAAAGCATCCAGCTGCAGCAGCAAAATGTGAAGCCCCGCGGCGCATGCAGCAGCAGCAGCAGCAGCTTCCACCTCCTGTGCGGTGCAGCAGCAGCAGCAGCAGCAGCAGCAGCAGCACCAAAAGGAGACACACACAAACACACACCTGTGGAGCAGCCGGTGGCTGGGCCTGGCTCCCGTTGCTGCTCAGCACAGCTGTTGCTGCTGCAGCAGTTGCTGCTGCTGCTGCTGCTGCTGCTGCTGCGCGTCAGTGGCAGATCCAGCCCAAGATTTGCTGCAGGGTAAAAGCAAAGCAGGCACTGAGCTCATGCTGCAGCAGCTAGTGCCTGGGGGGCCCCCTGGGGGCCCCCCGGGGGCCCCCTGGGGGCCCCCTGGGGGCCCCCGGGGGCCCCCAGGGGGCCCCCTGACTATTACAAAAAGTAAAAAGCAAAGTTTTGTTCAGCAGCAGCTTCTGCAGCAGCCCCACGCAGCACTCAGCATGCAGCAAGAGGCCTACCCGGAGGCTCTGCTCTGTTAGGGTTAGGGGGGGCTGCTGCTGCAGCAGCAGCTGCTGCTGCAGCAGCAGCAGCAACCGCGCGCGCGCTCTCGCTGCCGCTGCTGCTGCTGCTGCTGCTGCTGCTGCTGCCCGAAGCATCCAGGCAGGCGCCGCTGGGCCCCAGGCGGCCTGCGGGTGAGGGCTCACATGCAGCCACGGAGGCTTCCGGAGAAGGCGCTGAGAACTGCTGCTGCTGCTGCTGCTGCTGCTGCTGCAGCATCAGAGGGTCATCTAAAGGAGGAAGCAAAGGAGGGGGGGCTGCTGGGAACTGCTGTGCTGCTGCAGAGGCCCCTGCGCCCTCGTCCATCTTGTCGCGGTGTACGTACACCGCAGCCGCAGCCCCCGTCCTACCGCAGCAGCTGGAGCAGCAGCAAGCCCTCCCCCGCGGCAGCAGCAGCAGCAGCAGCAGCAGCAGCAGCCGCAGCAGCAGCAGCTGTCCACCGACGCGCACACCGCCGGAGGCAGCCTCCAGCGCGCTCCGCTGCAGCAGCCAAAGGGTCTCGGGGTGTCTGGGGCCCAGGGCTGGCAGCAGGAGCGGCGGAAGCAGCAGCCGGGGGCAGCAGGGGCGGCGCCGCAGCAGCAGCTGCAGCTGCAGCAGCAGCAGCAGCAGCAGCGGCGGCGGCGGGGCCCTTCCGAGGCGCGCTGGCCCCCAAAGAGTCCCTAATAGACTTTAATTGAAGCTACAAAACCGCTGGAAGACGAAAGAAAGCCGCAGGGCGGGGCCGCGCAGCCGCGGTTTGGTGCGGCGGCTGCTGCTGCTGCTGCTGCTGCTGCTGCGGGGAGGCCGTCGGCGCGCCTTCCGCGGTGGAAAGTGCAGCAAAAGTGGTCCAGTGGACAGGCCAGTGGTGCTTTGCCGGTGAGTTTGCAAAAGAAAAGCCGCAGAAGGCCCGGCGGCCGCGGATTCGCTGCTGCGGCCTCGGCCGACCCGCGGAACCCGCAGCAGCAGCAAGTGGAAAGCAGCGGAAAGCGAGGCCAAACTCCAGGCTCTCGAGCCCAAAACAGAGCTGTGAAGTTCTTTTCCAAAACGCAACTTGCTCGCAAAATTCGACTCCAAACGCCCGAGAAATAACCCCAAACAAACTCGAATGCAACAAATGCGCAGCACCAGCGGCGGGCTGCGGCTGCTGCGCGGCTGCTGCTGTACGTACACCGCAGCGCTGCTGCGGTGGCTGCATGGGGGCTGCGGTTGCTGGCCAAAAGGCCTCCTTTTCTCCTCTTTTTCGAGTTTTTAATTCTTTTTTATGTTTTATTCCAATTCGCCTCCACTCAGAGGCCCAGAAGAGCCGCCTAGGGCTTCAAAAGGCGGCTCTCGCGCCGCGCGACTGAGCCCGCGCCCGCCCGCGGTGTATGTACACCGCGGGCCAACGCTAGCGGCTTTCCTCACTTGCACTGAGACTTTGCACTTCATAAATGAATTTCTTTTTCTTTTTTAAACTGAAGAGCTGCAGCGGCTCTTTTTAGCTGCCGGTGCTCAGGACTGGCTAGCTCTGGAGTGTATGTACACTGCAGAGCAGAGCTGGCGCGTCTCACAGCCACAAACGCCCTTAGGGCCAAATCTGCATTTTAAAATGCATCTTGGCTGCTGCTGCTGCTGCTGCTGCTGGCTCCTGCTGCTGCTGCTGCTGCTCATTGAGCTCGTGTTGCTGCTGCGTTCAGCTACTACCCATAGCTGCTGCTTTCTCCTCCAGTGGCCACATAACGTAGTTGCTGCTGCTGCTGCTGCTGCTTAGCCCAGCCTCTTGCGCAACAATTAATTTGCTGCTGCTGCAGCAGCAAACTAGTTGCGCTGCTGCTGCTGCTGCTGCTGCTCGCAGCTGCAGCACAATTCCAGCAGGCCTAATTGGCTCAAAGGGGCCCCTTCAAAAGATATCAGATGTGAAGGACTTTGAGGGTTTAAGGGAGTTTTAAAGGTCCTAAAGTGATTTAAAATGATTTAAAATGATTTAAAATGATTTAAAGTGATTTAAAATGATTTAAAATGACTTAAAATGATTTAAAATGGAATGAAATAACTCAAGATGGTTTAAAATGATTTAAAATGATCTAAAATGATCTAAAATGATTTAAAATGATCCAAAATGATCTAAAATGGTTTAAAATGGTCTAAAAGAAGTTCAAAAAGATATTAAAAGATTTTTAAAAAAATATAAGGCCTGGAGACCTTAAAGTATTTGCACACTTCATTAATTTAAAAGTTTGAGATTTTACAAATTAAATAAAATCAAAGATTTCATAAATTAAATAAAATTCGAAATTTTATAAATTAAATGAAATTAAAGATTCAAAAAGAACTAAAAGGACATTAAAAGATTAAAAAGGACTTTAAAGATCTAAAAAGACACTTTAGGTCTTTAAATAAAACTAAAAAAGGATCCAAAAAAGATCCAAAGAAGATCTAAAAAGGACATTTAAAAATAACTCAAAGAGATCTTCAAAAAATCTAAAAAGGATCTTTAAAAAAAACTAAAAAGGATCTTTAAAAAAAACTAAAAAGGATCTTTAAAAAAAACTTAAAAGATCTGAAAAGGATCTTTAAAGAGGCCTTAAAAACTTTAAAAAGAACTAAAAGAATCTTTAAAAAGAACTAAAAAGAATCTTTAAAACGAGCTAAAAAGAATCTTTAAAACGAACTAAAAAGGATCTTTAAAAAGAACTAAAAAGGATCTTTAAAAAGACCTAAAAAGGATCTTTAAAAAGAACTAAAAAGGATCTTTAAAAAGACCTAAGAAGGATCTTTAAAAAGAACTAAAAAGGATCTTTAAAAGGAACTAAAAAGGATCTTTAAAAGGAACTAAAAAGGATCTTTAAAAGGAACTAAAAAGGATCTTTCAAAGGAACTAAAAAGGATCTCCAAAAAGAAATAAAAAGAACATTTAAAAAGAACTAAAAAAAGATCTTTAAAACAAACAAAAGGGCCTTAAAGGGCCTCGGAGGGTCTAGAGGCTTTAAGAAAAG